GTGACCTGTGCGGCGCCGAGCAGCCGGGCCAGAAGTGCACCGACGCCGACCCGTACCCGGCACCGAGGGCGCCTTCCGCTGTCTGGTGGAGGGCGGCGACATCGCCTTCGTCAAACACTCGACGCCGCGCGAGATGATGAGCGCCGGCCTCCGCAAGGGCACCGGCGTCCGCCAGGCGGGCCAGCAGGCCATCACCAGCACGGCCATCCCGCGTGAGTGGCGGCCGCTCGGCCGACGCGCCGGCGATCTCCGACGCGGCGGAGCGGGCCGGGTGGAAGGGGGTGCTAGGACTGCCGGATTGCTCGTTTGGTGGCTTTCATTGCCGCGGGATGGAGTTACGGTACGGGTGATTTTCATAGGCGCTCGTGGAACTTTTCATGCCCCGATGGGACCAACGTTGTGCCAGCAGTCCAGCGAATCGAATGTCTTTGGGGGGGGGGGAGGGGGCGGTGTTTGATGACGGCACCGCCAGCTGGCGCGGTGCCACCCCTCCCCTGCCCCCGACGTAATGTGTCGCCTTCTAGTTTGGCAGTCTCGCACCTCGGGCGACTCCGACGTGACTGTGTGCGTGCTCGTCGTCCCGTGGACGCGTTCACATCCGCGACGCCAGCGAACCGAACCAGAGCCTTGGCCAGCGCCTTAAAAAAGTCCGGAGATGAGGGCAGGGGATTCGAGTCGCACTAAGCGACCCCCGGTGTCGACCGGAGCCACCCCGGACGGGTCCACGTCCGAGCCGGGGGCGCCCCCCAGCGGTTGTGACGCCGCGGCGGCGTCGTTGCAGCGGACCTGGACGAGACGATGTTCGAGCTGCTGTGTCTGGACGGGAAGCGGGCGCCGCTCGCGGAGTACCTGCGCTGCAACTGGGGCCGCATTCCCAGCCACGCCGTGCTGACGTCGTCGGCGCGGCCGCGCGAGCTGCGCATCCAGTACCAGCGCTTCCTCAAGGTGAGCGCGACCGGGGTCACGGCCGGGCGGGTCGCCAGCGCCCGTGGCGACGGGCTGGTGCTCGGACACGGCCGCGTTCGGAGGTGGCTTGATGAGCGGGGCTGGGTCTGTGCCGGGACGTTGGTGTGGTGCGAGTCGTTCAGCGCTTCACGACATCTGAGGGATCACGGGCGGACGCATGCGCGCACTGTCGGCCACACATCACCACATGGCTTGGCGGTTCTGGCGTCGCCGTGGACGCGAACAGCCTCTGTATGAACGTCAGTGTCGAACGTACTGTCGCACTGTGCCCTTATCAACGCATACAGCAACAAGTACCTATCGTCGCCCGTCGCCCGTCGTGGCGTCAGCCGGGCGCAGAGCCGGCGCGCGGGCGTGCGGGACCGGCGGCGTGCCGCTGACGGCGGCCGGTCCGTTCCGCAGGAGGCGGTGAACCTGTACGGCTCGCCCTCGCCGACCACGCCCGATCCGTACGGCGACTTCCGCTTCTCGCTGTTCGAGTCCTTCCGCTACGGCGTCCGGCCGAACCTGCTCTTCCAGGTGTGTGTCGGGCGGAGACGGCGGACGATGCTTAATACCGGCAACAGCCACCGAGTCCAGATACGTTCCAGTGGACGAGCATATGACAAAATGACGTGCACAAAGTAACCAGTGCAGCGATCATGTTGGGATGTGCTAGGACGTCGGCTTTCGTACGTCGTTTCGTTCGTCGTTTTACGACGTACGTTTCGTACGTCTTTCGTACGGCTTTCGTTCGTACGTCGTGATCAGTCATGCCTGATCAGGCAGAGTGCTTGGCTGCTCCGAACAGGACTCAGGTCAGGTACCCAACTGCCCGTTTGCATTAGTGCCACGCAGGCCCCACATACCCGCCGGGCTGCGTAATCGTAGTCGCATCTCTGAGCATTAGGGCTATCTAAATGTATATCGCCCCCGGGACGTTTCGGGGAAATGCAATGTCTCGTACATCCCGGGCGATAGCAGGTCAAGGCCGCGGACCCTGCTGACACCGCCGGCCCCGATGGCACCGCTGACGCCCGCTGACTGCGCCGTCGGCAGGACTCGACCGTGTCGCTGTACCCGATCAAGCACGACGACCAGCTGTACCTGCGCTACCTGGGCGACGCGTTCACGCCGATCATGGAGGTGCGCTCGTGCCCGGTGCGCGCGCTCCGCCTCTGCGTCACCTCGCACGCCGAGCAGATCAAGTGCAACCAGATGCGGGTACGTGCCGGCCGTTGGGGGCGACCTCCAAACTTTTGGGGCGAATGCTGTACGATGAATGTGACGTGAGAAAATTAATGTGAAGGTGGAAGGAGGTGGTGTGCTTTGTGGTCTGGTATTCACACTGGTAGCTTTCGTATACGATACCAGTGCAATGTACTTAGAGATCAAGTCCGGCTACTTACTACGTAATTGTTGATTGCTATGACACCATTTTGTGCCACCATTGCCTTTTGGGAAGAGACGTCGTCCTGCGCATGGCTGTTGTGTGCAATGCTGTGTAACGATGCTTCCATATGAAACCATGATGACTTCACAAATGACGCGCGTTGAGCACGTCCTCGCTTGCGGCGTTTCTGACGGACCCGCGTGACTTCCCCAGCAAGCGCTTCGGGCCCAGCTGCTGAAGCCGGAGCTGATCTGTTTCCGGGGACACAGCACCGTCGACTGCATGCGGGTCATCAACAGGGGGTCAGTGCCGCCTCCCAGGTCGCGTTCGCTCGCGCTCTTGCCGCCTCAGCATTGTGCAGTCGCCCAGTTAAGCGCGGCTGGACGTCCCAGTTTGGGAGTCACCTTCCGCTCCAGCTGAGGGTGTTATGTTATGGCCGTTCTCCGTGGCGTAAATCAGCCGCAGCGCCTTCGAGCGGTTCGTGGACGAGTCGCTCGGTCAGCCTTGATGACTCCGCTGGGGTGTCGGCGCGACGTTTTTGCTCATTATTGGATGTGATCATTCCATTGAGCTACCCCTACGTGGTCCGCAGTTTGGCCGACATTGTGATGCTGGACCCGGGCGACGTCTACACGGCCGGCATGCGCTTCAACCAGGTACCCATCATGAACGAGGTGTACGACAAGGACAAGTCCTTCTTCTACGTAGTGGCCGTCTCCAAGGAGACTGACCTGGACACCGACCTGCTCTACCTGAGAAGTGAGTGGCATTGCCGGTTGGCTCAGTTGTCCTGCCGGCGTGCCGGGAGGGGGGAGGGCTGTTGTGCCTGCCCGGCTGTCCAGGTGCAGATGGTGCGCTCGTATCAGCATCTATGGCTCATTGTGGAGTGAAACACCAAAAATGCCTGCTCACTCGTTCTCACTGATGCCTGACCCCCCCCCCCCCCCCCCCCCCTCCCCCGACGCGCAGACAAGAAGACGTGTCACACGGGCGTGATGGACGGCGCCGGCTGGGTGATCCCGCTCGCCTACCTCATCTCCAACGAGCGCATCCGCGGGTACGGCTGCAACTCGGTGCAGGCGGCGGCGCAGACTTTCACCAAGGCGTGCGCGCCCGGCGCCCTCAGCAGGTGCGTCGCGAGGCTCGAGCCCTCACCAGCTGTCCGGGGACAGGGCAGGACCTGCTGTGCGATCTGCCTCCGCTGTGAAGCTCCTCCCCCCCCCCCCCCCCCCTTGTGCCTTTGGATGGTTTTGTCTAGTATGATGTTTATGTGTACTGCTGTGAGTCCTTGGCATGTTCGCTGTACGCGTTTTTGCGTTTCCCCCAAAGCAGCATAAGTATTGTTGGACGTCATATGGCTTCACGTAATACCGTAGCGTGTGAACTCCTGTCTTGTCAGCCGTATTTGGCCTCTTCAGCTACCCGACAGCGTTACGGATCGTAACGTTGAGAATTGTAAAAACTCAGGCGTCGCGAACATAAGCAAAACATGATTATTAACGATGCTGAGGTGATGTCCGCTTCTTTATCATGTTCCGCTTGCAGCGACTATAACTTCGGCTACACCTGGTACAACCTGTGTCAGTTGTGCCACGGCTCCAGTGGGAACTACTGCTCCCGGGACGCCTCGGAGGGGTACTACGGCCACACCGGTGAGGGGTGCCGCGCCCGGCGGCGGCAGAGGAGGGGTACTTTGGCCACACACCGGGGAGGGGCGCCGCGCCCGGCTGCGGCAGAGGAGTGTACTATTGGCCACACGACCGTCAAGGGGCGGGGCCGCGCGGCTGTGGCCGGGAGGGGTGCTACGGTTCTCCGCGCTCGGTGGCGGCCGAGGAGGCGCCGCGCCTTCAGAGTGCCCTCCGTCACGCTGCATCGGAGCGGTGCCGTCTCCCGGCAGCCTGTCGCGTCATGCGGGGTTGGCCTCGACGCAAGCCTGACCCGGCGTAAGGGCCCAGCTTGAAGTCCGTCCCTCTGCGTACCGTTTAGTAAAGACTGCGGAGGGTCAGATCAGGTCAGCAGATGTGGTACGTTCTGTGTGCTGGTGGAGTATGCTGCTTACGTTGCATCTGCTATAGAAGTGTTGCCCTCCAGCGACCTAGCTGACCCTCTTCACGCTCTCCGCGTAAGGTTCATGTCTGATCAAACGCGGAGTGAATGTGACGGGGAATTATGACGTCAACATCCACAGGTCTGGTAGAACGTAAGTCAAGTCCCTTGGAAGTCGTGATCCGTGTGCTGTCACCAGAACACTTCATCGCGTGTACGCGGCAGGCAGGCAGGCAGGCAGACGCATTCGGGAGTTGACCCTTTCGACCATGTGCACTCTTACGGCCGGGAGTCTGTGGGCTGGGCGTCGCTGACATGCCTCTGAGTGTGCTCCGTCGGGCTGTGCCGTCTCGCCGTGCTGCACGCTCACGTGGTGACGCTGCGGCAGGCGCGTTCCGCTGTCTGGTGGAGGGCGGCGGAGACGTGGCCTTCGTCAAGCACACCACCGTCCAGGAGAACTGCGACGGCAAGCGCCAGGAGTTCTGGGCGCGCAACCAGCTGACCGCCGACTACCAGCTGCTCTGCCGCGACGGTACGTTACCGGCTAAACGAGCAGCTGCTCTGCTAGAAGGGTGTGTCACCAGGTGACCGGGCGGCTGGAGCGGCTGCTCTGCGAGGAGGTTGTGTCACCAACTGACTGAGCAGCTGGTGACAGCGTGCTTGACCAACTTGCCAGGCGGCTGTTCTGCTGGGGTGGTGCGTCACTAGCCGGCCAGACGATTCTGTCGGGTTGACTGGTGTTCACCTAGCGAGAAAGCTGGTCACTTGAATATAAAGATAGCTGCCTGAAAGAAAAATGTGATTACGTTCCCAGCTGTGGTGGAGATCATTGTCGGCTCTGCTGCTTGCCGTGGCTCGCGGCTCGCTTGACGGCTCCGTGACTGTCGTGCCCTGCCCTGTACAGGCACCCGTGCCCGCATCCAGGACTACCCCACGTGCAACGTGGGCCGCGTGCGCACCAACGCCATGGTGACGCGCGGGGGCGAGGCGCTGAACGAAACCGAGATCAACACCATCCTCAACCTGTTCATGCACGCTCAGCAGCACTTCGGACAGAAGTTTGGCGACGAGTTCAAGTGAGTGGGGTCGGCCCGCCTCAGTGGTGAGGATGATTTCGGTCTTGGAGCTGTCTTCGGCGTGGTGGGGCGGTGTGCGTGCTGGGTGCATTTCTGGCAGATTTATGATGACTTTCGGGCTGTTCTTTTGGCAAGGTTCGCACAGTAATCCAAACCAGTTGCATGCGTCTGGACATGTCATTAAGAGGTAGGAGAGCTTTGTCATTATTATTCGCCATGTGCCCCAATGGATCGCAAGCTTAGGGAAATACTGGTATTTTGTTGTAACGTCTATTCTCCGCCAGTCGGCCCGCACTGCCGACTGGCGGAGAATAGTTTCCTTCTTGGCTGCCTCGAATGTATCAATGTGCGCGCTGATTCCTGGGTTACATCCGCGATCCATGCTGAAAATATGCTGCCGGCCTGATATCAAAGGAGAAACTCGAATGATTGTATTCTTGTTGTCACGGATGTAGTGCGACCGGCGCCCGTGGAATGCGCTGTCGCGGCAGAATAGCAATTTGGTCGCTTCATCTTCCTCCGACAATGTGTGGAGGTGTGAATGCTTTCTAGACCTTATCGCCATCAGCATGATGAAAAAAATGAAAGAGATCGAAACTGGAACTGCACAGATTAGTAGTGCTCTTCTCCCGACTGCTCGACTCCCATTACTTCGGTTCACCAGATCTGCGACAGCCAATTAGCTATTGTGCGGGGTGTGAAAGCGAAATACCTCTGAAGGTATGAGATTTGTGATACTAGTACGAGCGGGCACTTTGAGGTAGCGTGCTAGTTCTGGGCTGTGATAGGGTTGACGAGGTCAGCCGGAAGGAAAGTGTCTGCTCTTAATGGAGACGGCAACTCGGAGAGGGCCGGCGAGTCACAATTTTCACGAGGGCAGTGAGAGCAAAGGTGGCTGTGATTTGCCCGCGCGAGCGAGTTGAGCACGGTAGACTCCCCCGCACACGGCGTTCTCCGGTCTGGCGGCCCCGGGGCTGACCTTGCCGTGTCATGTTGCAGCTTCAAGATGTTCCACTCGTCGGAGCCGACGGCCGACCTCATCTTCTCGGACGCGGCGCAGCAGCTGCGGCCCATTCCCAAGGACGAGCGCAACTACAGAGCCTACCTGGGTCAGTAGACGCGCGAGAAATGCGAAGTGCTGTGTAAATGAAACGTGGACTGTGGGGTGGAGACGCTGAAGGCACGGCTCTCAGCGTGTGACCACTGACTTCGCCAGCTGTTGGGATGCGGTGAGATGGAGCTGGTGTGAAAGTGAACTGGCAGACGGACTCCTTATCAGGAGGACTAGGCTGTCGGACCAGTCACGAGATGATGCGTGTGATGGTGACAATATCTGGACCGTATGCGTGTGACACCGTGCGCTGCCAGCCTCCAGATCGCACGTTATTGGCGCTTGTTTACAGCTTCATACTGTGCGGTTGTCGTTTTTTTTTTGTATTCTCATCATGGCTTTGCAATGATTTGGTGCAGCGTGTGGCGCAACCGGGCACGGCCGCCAATATCGAGGCGATTTGTGCCACTGTTTATTTCACGAACGAATGCGGTGTATGTCTGTGCACCTTATCACTGCACATGGTTTGGTTTGTCACGGAAGTAGTGCGTTCAGCCATGAAAGGTGTTCACGTGCTCTCCTACTCGGCAGGCAAAAACTTCCTGGAGGCGCGCGCTGTGGTGGACTGCCGAGCCGGCGCGGCGTCCCTGGCCGTCTCCCTGGCAACGGTCGCTGTGGCGGCGGCCGCGCGCCTTCTGGTGTGACGCGCGGCTGAAGCACATCTCATCTGTACATTGTCGTACCCGGGGACAGGACACGCCAATCACACAGTGCAACAGTGCAACCGTCGTCCGTGAAGTGGTGGATAGCTGTTAGGAGAAGCGGCGCACGCGATCGACTGAGGGTCGGAATCTCGGGCCGTGTGGGGTTCGGCGCGTGGGCCCCGCTGCAGCCTCCGACGAGGCGCCCGCCGGCCCGTCCAGCGGCTGTGCAGCTCGGGTCCTGGGGTCGTCGGCGTTGGCCCAGCGAGGCGGCCGCCTGGGCGTGCCTGAACACGACCCCCAGATCCACTCGGCCGGCCGCCTCTGTGGCGGTGACTGCCAGCCGTCGGGGCCGTGCGGTGCGGCTCGTCGTGATGTCATCGCCGTGTGCTTCGGGCTGGGGTGGCCCCGGTCGCCAGATGACCGCTCCTCACCTGGACCTGGTGCCTGCGTGGTCGAGCCGCGGCGTGCGCAGCTGGCTCGACTCGCCACAGCCGCTCTCTGGCTCGCCACCCGTGCATTACCTTGCGCCCGCCTCAGATCTGCGCGAAGATCTGAAGCAGACAGCTCAAACGTGACGGAATCCGTAGCTAGTGTGTGATGCGCACGGCTGGGCAGGGCGCGCGCCCAGTGTACGGGCCTCTGGATGTGGCTGCACCGATACCACGCCGTGGACGGCCGACGACGGCACTTCCGAGTCAGAGTCAATGTCATTGGTGAGCGCTGGTCTGACTATGCGCACCAGCTCGCGGGCCCCGGGCCGGCCGTGCTCTGCGCCCGTGGGCGTGGTTGCAGCAGGCCGGCCGGAACGCGAGGCGCTTTGCTGGTCACGTTCTCCGGCAGGATCGTACCCGGGATCTCGGCTAGGACAGTAGGCTCACGTGTGGCTCCAGAGCAACGCTGCGCGCGCTTTTTGCTGCAGAGATCATGGTTTTAGGTCGTATGTTTTCAACAGTTACATCGAAGCAAGCAGGCGTCGTGGAGCCTCGAGGAAATACCACACTGAAAATATGTGAACTGCACATATTAGTTTTGATGCGCCTACCTCCGCGCCTGCTTGTCGGATGTATCACGTAGCATATATTTTGTATGGACTCTTTTCACCGGCGGTTGCTTGACACGCCTAGCATATTGCACGTCGGCATAGCGGCCTGTTTTTATTCGTGTAGGCTTTGCACCTCGTGGCGCGCGCTTTCTACCAATTGTACCCGGCTGCTATCGTTCATACGCGCAGTGTATTCCACTTTTGGATGGATATTTTTATAACTGACGTTACTGTGTGTGACAATATCTACACGTTACAATGACTGTGCCCATCCCGTCCACTCGTATGAGGCTTGTGAATCCGTCCAGTATACGCCAGAGCTGACGCTCAAGCGCTATTGCATTCCGTCTTTGCGTCCAAATATACCAGCTAGAAAGGTCTTTCTCCGGCTGTTGATAGGTAATGGAAGAGCAAAGGGGCACGTGTTATCGCAAGTATTTCAGCGGTGTAGTCCCAGATCATCCCAAGGGGATGCGAACCCGACAAGCGCTTGAAAGTAACTCGGGAAGGGGGAACTAAAGGAGGATGAGAGGGTCATAACGTGGAATGCTGCAATCTAACATTGTTTGCCAACTGTGGGTGGCTGGGCCAAGCGCTTCATTGTATGAACAACTTGCGCAAATCCCGTCTTTTATGTACTCGTCTTGTGCTGGAAATCCTGGTCGGCCATTGCCTCTAAGTCTCGCCAGCCGCTGTCGGTCAACATGCCAGCACGCTGTCGCCACCCCACCCCGCCACCGCGTCCCGCTATGCCGCAATACGTCAGCGAATCCCTCGCGGTCGAGTGTTCACGATCTCCTCGTCTGCGGACCCGTCACCGGCGGAAGCCCGGGCACGAGCGGCGGCGGGCGCGGCGTGACTCGACCGCCAGTGGGCAGGTTCTTCACACGGATTGGCGGCGTGATAATGAGGTTGCGCCAGCGGCGCCGGCGACCGGGCACCACGGTTGACCTGTCCCCGCTGACGGATCGGGCTGACGAAAAGAGAGCTAATGACAGAGGAGCACGGCCGCGCCGGTGGCAGTGGATACACCGCCCTTGAATAACCCGAAATGATTCGAAGTGTTGAAAGTCAGAAGGCGCACGAACACTAGGCATACCCCCGAATTACGAATCACTGTCAACCCTTCGTTTAACAATACCCGCCCGGTCGCGTCACGCATGAAATGCATTGGTAGGTGGAATAGTTGACATGCTGGGTACTACTACACTTATACTCCAATCCGTTCCACTGCGCAGTTGCTGTGGTTGTGTTCTGATTCTGTACGTGAAAACCGGGGTTCTTTGTTCAAAATGCCCATTACCAATACTTCTGCCATAGCCCGCGTACAAGACCTAACGATGGAATAGGTACACGACTGGTGTGATTTGCTAGCTGATTTATTAATACACCACTGATGATCACCTTTTTCATGTGGATCGGTAGTTGGCCTCACCCGTTTTGCTAAGTAAATACGAATATATATGTATATATATATATATATATATATACACTTATTAAAACTTATATACTATTCATATGTTTATATACATACTACTTATATATATATATATATATATATATATATTATTCATATACTGGTGCGTGCGTGGCGTGCGCACGTGCATGCTCGTGTGTATGGCTAAACTTGCCATGTGCATCAGCATTTACACGACATTCCTATCATCATCGACATGTGGTATGCAGTGCCCACTAAATCAAGCAATGTTGCCAGCTGTTTGCGGCGCGCAGCCTATCAGACTTCCTTGATCTAGGCCCGACATATCTTGTCAATGAAATGGAAGCCTCTTCGCTGGCATTGTGGTCGTTTTCAGCGACAGTCCTGGACTGGCGGAAGTGATCGCACCTGCCCTTGCGACACCGCTGAACTGACCGCGTCCCTGGCTCTGCATGACGGCCGCGCGATGAAGTTTGCCTGCTCCGTCGTGCAGGAACTGCACACTCAGCTTCGGGCCGGTCGCCCCGCATTGTCGCCACCTGACTGCAGCTTGCGTGATTAAGGCCGTTGAGAAGCAGCCAGCGAGGGAATCGCACAAACCAGTGTTAGCAGTACAAGACATACGCAGGGACAGGGTGCAACAGGCTGTCGCCCCGTCCTTTCGCATGTATAGCATGTGGCGTATATATGATAATATATATATATATATATATATATATATATATATATATATATATATATATGTACATATATATGTGTGTGTGTATGTGTATGTGTATAACTTATTAAGATGTGACACATCAAGATATCCTGATCAACCTATGCATATTATATGATCTTGTGACGCGTTTCACAGAACGACGGCTGCATTACCAGAAAAAGAACACACACGTTCACACTGCGAATCACGTGTTCACATGTCCACGTCCACGAGGACGTGTTTGGGAGAGCTGGTTGAGTGCTGTCCGTGCGCATCGGCAGTTCGGTGAGCAGCGAGTTGTACAGCGCCAGTGTTCTCTTTGGCGTTAAAACACGTCCACGTGTTATGAGATGAAATATATCTGTAGAATTCCGGGGTTGGTCGCGTATCATCGCATGGGCGTGTGTGGTATTTTCAGCTTGTCTGTGCGTGTCGTAAACCATTATAGTTTACACTGAGCGTGTGTTTCTTTGCCTGATGATGCAGCTGTTGTTCTGTGAGACGCTTCGCGAGCTAGTATAAGGTGTGAATATATGTATATATATATATATATATATATATATATATATATATATGCAGAGGCGTATATGTATAAAATGGCAATATTGACGGATGTATTGACACAAGACAGTAGACGTTGACAGCAGAGATACTTCAATGATACAATGGCTATTTTGGATTTCGATTCAAGGCTGAAAGGAAAGACAAGGCAAACGGTGTGTAGCAAACACAGATGCAAACGGATGAACGCAAACGCTCGCGCAAACTCCGTCCCATCATAGATCTCATAAGCTGCTCACTGACACCAAAAGTCGTTTGACGAAGCTCCCACCAACGAGCCCCGCAGTGCGGCGAGCAGCTAGTTGCACAGTACCTCAGTGTTGAACAGAAAGCGTCGCCGCCTACGTTAGTCCTCATGCGTGGAGGAGGACCGGTGACGTAAGGCGAGTGCAGTCGGAGAGGAATTCTGTGCCGGCCCGGATCTGAGGGCGTGAGACTATGGCTCATCCGTGCATCACATTTTGCGGAGGCAGAGAAAATAGCACTTAAACACTGCGTTTGGACGGACGGCGGAAAGTTGTCACGGTGTGACTCCTGCACATCGAATTCGCAAATTTATTCTACAAGCTCGACTATTCACTCGGTATGTTTGCGTTGTGTTTGTGGTGTCGTTGGGAGATTGGTGGGCGGTTTGGAGTATTGCCATTGACATACGCTTGTGCAGCGACCATTTAAACTGACGATGGTCAGCGAACGACCCGACCGTTGTGGGGCTCGGTTATGTGCCGTGTAATACTGACACACCATGTCCTTGCGGAGTGAAACGGACGTCGGGGCCATGTGGCGATAAATCCAACGGGAGCCAAACACCACCAGTTCGGTTTTGCTTGTGCTGGCTCTCAAACAGACGGGATGGAGCCAGACGTTTAGGGATCCTGAGCCTGTTATATGGTGGCTATGCGTTTAGGAGAAAGTCTTTTTTGCCGGGGACAAAAACTTGGATATTGCTGACGTGATGTTCCACGTGAGTTTCAGGTATTTCAGCTTTCATGCGATCATGTTTGCGGCCTCGCTGCCCTTACGCTTGACGACTGCAATGTGAGCTATGACATTCGAAAATATCATCAACTAGTTCATTGACGATATCCTCGCGCTCCGTGCCACCGTCCAGGGCTTCGAGCGGGTCCCGGTGGGACCGGGCGCCAGCCCGAGGCAAGACTCATTCTTACACGCTCAGCTGTCTCGGATGCGAAAGGACGCCACACCCTGGCCAGCGGCCCGGGCTCTGCCACCAATCAGGTCAGGTCGGGTCAGTTCCACTGCAGCACGGGGTTGCCGGCCGCCACCAGCCCACCACGCAAGCATTGAAAATCGAGGTAAAATGCGATTGAAGGATGCTAGAATGTACAGCGCGAACGGCTTTGTGCGTAAAAAAGTGCTTGTGTATAACGCACACGCGGAAACGTTCGTAAGCAGCAACCGTGGTTCGTAAGCAAATATATCAAGGAATGAAGCTCGTGACACAAAAGCACGTGTGTAAAGCTCGCGCGTAAATGATTGATGATGAATGAAAGTTGATAGGCAAATGTTCGCACGGTATTAGTAATGACAAAAGTTCGGGGGAGGTTCTATGGAAATTTTGACACCCAAAAAGCATGTACACGATCGCATACAATGAACTATGTGTGTGCAGGATTAAGTTCGTAAAACAATATTCTGAATAATACAACTATAAAGGAGGGTCATTCCTGGACAGATCAACTGCCGGAGTATTGGTAATTCATGCACCACTGCCTCTCAGATTTCGCTGAGGCATGGTTTGTGCAGTGCCGTCTGAGGCGTGGCGGTGGATTGTGCAAGTTTTGACTGCTAAGCTGTTCAGCGCATTAGCGAGGAGCATTGTTCACATAGATAAGACAGTAGTAATCTCCATCCTCCTGTTTTTTCCGATGAATAAGGCTCCAAGTTGTATCCAAGTTTTGACTCCGTGCAGTTGAAAAGTTATAACTCGGACAATTAGGAATTGACCGCAAACAAAGCCCTTATGAAAAACGCTTGACAAGCGCAAGGTGTTTTTGAGAACCTCCTTATCGACATCTAAGTTTGTTTGCCAGGAGCATCTACACGCAAAAAGTTCTTATGCAGATGTGTGATGTGCTTACACAAGTGCGCAGGCATCGATCTGCCTTTCGCCATTGGCCCGCCTCGTAACTCTTCAACTTCGACCAGGAGCACTGATTGCTTCGGGTTCATTTGATGGCCACCGTCAGGTGCTTACCTTCATGTCATGAAGAGCTAAGCGGGTCATCCTGTTTGACCCAACTGATGTAATTGTCGCCGTCCATCGCCGGCGGCCCCACTTCAACCCATCGCTTATCCACTCGGCGGGATGCGGCCGCCCTGGCGGTGACGATTCTGCCGAGGTCCAGCATCAGGGATGGGGACCTGCATCTATAGTTAGGTTATAAATTTTCACACCAACACCTGTGCACGAACAATGGCGTACATACCTCACACATCTGCGTGCCAACTTCTGCGCGCGTACTTTATCAAACGCACTTTACCCCTGGGGGTCATTTGCGTACAGACATCGTAAGAACAATTGCGCAAATCCAAATATCTTCTCAATGCTCTTCGGCACGCCATTAGGTCTGACAGTAATTTGGAGTCAATGTTTTGTGGTTCTGTGAAACTTCCCTTCTCCATACGTCCCCGTACACAGCACTGAGA